GGTCTCCCCTCAGCCTCCTTTTCTCCAGGCTAAACAACCCCAGCTCCCTCAGCCGCTCCTCATAAGACTTGTTCTCCAGACCCCTCACCAGCCTCGTTGCCCTTCTCTGGACACACTCTAACACCTCAATGTCTTTCTTGTAGTGAGGGGCCCAAAACTGAACACAATATTGTGTTGGATCTTTGGATCCAACACAATCTGTTGGATCTTTCACTAATGAAATGTCCAGTGTTTACATACAGGATTACTACAGAGTCCATAGTGTATAATATAATTTCAGGTCAGAGAGGGCATACCTTTATACCAGACTCCTCCCAAGATTCATTGATTGCAATTGCTCACAAGTCTATTTTCTAAAATTTTCAAGCTGAACTAAAGTTTTCAGCTGAGCTGACATTATTTCTTTTTGAGCTGAGAAGGAAGGGAAAAAGGAAGCATAACCATGAGTCTACTTCTTTACACAACCCTGAAAGCAAAAGTAATTATGTCCCTGATAATAATAGAAACTGAATGTGTCCCCTCAGGATTTATTTCATTAATGGTCTAAACATAAAAATATGAATATGAATTCAGTATAGTAACTATTTTTCAGTTAATATTACAGTTGAAAAACACTAGGTATAACAGATCTAAGTTATATGAGACTCCAAAGGCCACATATATGGCTTTTAGTGGGGAAAAAAGGGAAATTTGCTAGAATAAATAAAAATTAAATAGTTGGAAACTATCTAAAACTTAATCAATAAATTTGGTATTAAATCTGAACTTACCTAAACTTTCACTTTATTACATTTTTCCAGCGAGAGTCATTGATCATTTGTCATAAACATGACAGAATATTGGCCAATTAGGAAGCATAAATATTCAATGATCTATAATTATTGAGTCTACCATAAATGTGCTGCTCACCATTTTGATTGGTGAAAGCTGCAAATTTGTGTTTCAGTCTTTAAATAACCTATAAACATTTAAAATGATGGGATACAGATTTGCTTTAATAACTTCTTCATTAAAGACTACAATGCCACAGTTTTTATTGAAGTCCTTTTTTGAAAGAAATACCACTATGTTTCTTTTTCGCTATTCTTCTATTTTCTTCCTTACTAAGGTTTAGAGCTTGGGCTGAACCCTGGGTTCTGCAAGACTGCAGTTCTGCCCAACATTTACAGAGGCATGTAAATTTGCTTATACAATTACTCCTAAAATGGGTGCAGCAGTATATGCCTCTGCATAGCTTGACAGAAAAGTCCT